AAAACAAGGCGTGGCAAATACTTGAGATGAAAGAGAAATCTCCCTACACACTCAATCAAACGCGCCACGACACCGTTACCGCGATAACACTAGTGATGTTAAATGGTTAGTCAAAAGTGATATTTAGCTTCAAGCGATATAAAAATATTAATGCAAAAATTATAATATATACCGTCGGTGTCTTTATGACTTTATGACTGACGTGTGCACAAATACAAAAGCGAAAGGAATTATTTGCACATAGATGACCCACTTCTAAAACGTCTACAACTTTTGAATAACTAAATAAGTTTTTATTCTGTTATAGAATACGTGTAATAAATCATTTGATTGTAAGTGATGCCCATAGACATCTACATCTCGATTGATTATAACCTCGATTAAGAATCAAAATGCAAATGCGTTGTCACCCATGAAGACTAAGATGGAATGCCTCGTTTTCAGTAAAAAAGCTCTTCGATTCTAACGATTTCCGGATTAAAGGATTACAATTCCCATTAGAACTAAACTTTTCGACGACAATTGACAAATCTCAGGAAAATCAAAACTTGAAAGTACTCGTACGTACGTCCGTAGTAGTACGTAGAGCTCACTCACGTGTTTTTAGGGTCCAATATCTATATCTGCACTATATAATCTATAGAAGTGTATTGCAGTAGAGCGTTCTGCAACTTTTAGTAAAAATAATTTCAGTTATAAAAAAAATGTCGGCTTATAATTAAACGAGTAAAAGCGAGTAAAAACCAATATATATATATATCTTAATAGGATAAAAATACAACAGCATTAAAATCCTATTTTACACAGGTATTCTATGAGCGCCATTCCCGGCTGAGCCGACCCATTCGTGCGACACTATAATATAGCTGCAGTGTGGTTCTGCCACGTGTAAACTTATTGGAAACAACCTGAAATGTTGTGTTTGTGTGAGTACTTAATAGGACTACAAATATACGCGTTTATACAGGGATAGTCACTCGTTTTTAACAAACCTCGCCCGATGTAACTTTTACTGCATAAGATAAAAGGTAGACTAAGCCGCTGTGTCAGTTTGAATTTTGCACAAATAGCCTCAAGCCTAAGGCTCGCCGCGTGGCAAAACAAGCATAAGACTCAACAAAGTCAGTCCGTTTTGAATTTTTTTGTTGGTATGGTAGCTTATAAAAATTGCTATTAGCCTTTGTTCTACAGTTACATTTTATTGTTTTTTATATTATATTTCTGTATATATATATTTTTTTCATTTTAATAGTTAGGTATGCTACCCGCTAGCTATGTCATGTGATTTTAGCCTATCAATTAGCGTTATAACGAAAATATTGTCGCGTTTACTAACTGTAAATTACATGCTATTTTGTGTCAATCCCTAAACAACACACATTGCTAAAAGATACGTACATAGTGATGTAACTGATGACGTTTTAGCTTTCGTCTGATGACCAATTGCTGCGCTTGTGTCGCGTTATTAGCTTATTAGCGCTTCTGTGTTGTCACTATGGAAGTAGGTCTTCCGTTTACAGGTAAACGGTACCAAACGTTTTTGCGTAAATTATACGCGCCAAATGAAACAATCTACCACAATAGATGTAACATTTTGCGGTCACTTAAGATCTATAGAGTAGTAAAATAATCATATAAATAACATAAGCGTAATTTCAAAAAAAATATTGAAATGTTATTAGTAAACGATTAGGTAATACTTTAAAATATGTTTCTTCTTTTTCAACCTTAACAGTCGTTTGGGTGGGTTCCTGCCACTATAGGAAGGATTTCGCGTGATCACAACGCTTGGGAAGGGATTGGCGATTGTAGTAGATACCACACGTATCACACGCTGTTAACCGTCGCTGGTCGGGACATTTCACATCTGGCGTATGTCTGGTATACAGTTATCTATAGCCATATATATCTTTGTTACATTCCTTGGGAGAGGCCTATGTTCATCAGTGGACTTGTAATGATGATGATATATAATTCATAGTCACTTGCGAAACTCGCAGAACAAATGATGTGATGGATTCTCTTGCTCTGCCACGTCTCGGATTATATTTACTCGTAGTACATTTGATTTTTTTTTTGTTTTAACTAATCATAGTATTTAAAGTGCCTCTGTCTAATAAAATCTTATAACTTCCTTCTATTCATTTATTCCAACGCAAACAGTCCCTTCTGAAGTTTTGAAATAAAAATTTTTGGTTAAATTACTATGCACTACGTGATTTCCAAAGCAAAGTTGTAGAAATGCTAAAGATATTCATAAACCTCCGATACTTTATAACGATTTGAAATTCAATTTTTGTTTATAACTTTACAAAAAGATTTTAATAAATGAAATCTCAAATAAAATTTATATATTTTTTATTGAAAATTAATATATTTTTTGTGGAATTGCAATGCGCCATGTAATTTTCAAGTCAGAGTTATAAAAATACTAAAAATATTTGTAAACTTACAATCACTTTAAAGTAATTTTAGTTTCAATATTTTTTTTTTATAAATTTACAAAAACCTGTAGTAATTCGAATTACAAACAATGTTTGTAAAGTTCAACTTTTTTTTTATTAAAACTGACCACACTTTGTTAAAACTACAATACCTACATGTAGGATTACTACATAAAGTTTGTAAAATTATAACTCATCTTAGTACTCGTAAGTTTCCCCATATGCTTTGATAAATTGCTCGAATTGTATTGTAAATCATATTGGCAACACTGATTTGTAATTTTACTCATATTTTGTTTTGTAAAACATTTATAATTTCACTAAATTTTTTACCAGTGTAGCCTATCTTATGCGTGCTGTATGTCCCATTTGCAAACTTTTTTTTTTAATAGGATAAGGGTGATAAACGAGCACACAATCCACCTGATGGTAAGTGGTTGCTGCGGCCCATAGACATCTACATCTATCCTCGTTTGCGAATCAAAATGCAGATGCGTTGTCACCCGTGAGGACTAAGATGGAATGCCTCATTTCCAGTAAAAAGGGCCTCCGGCCACCTGCACTCACCAAGCAAAACGCAGAGGTAAACCTCTACTTCACGCTGGTATTCTGTGAGGTCGTGGTACCACCCCGGTTCGAGCCGGCCCATCCGTGCGACAGCAAAAGCTGCCGCGTGGCTCTACCACTGTGTTGTAGTGGACGTTTAATACGAAAGTCATATATTTTGAGGAATTAATTGGGAGAATACCTCTGGTAAGACATAAAATAAGTTATCAGCTTTCAGCTTTGAAATTCTGAACGACGGTATTGATGATGATAATACTTCAGTAACAGTTTTTTTACAACGACTCTGACGATGGTCGCTCAAGTTCTCATCAATAGGTCAAATAGATTATGTTCTATATGTATGCTTCCATATAGAACAAGGCGTTATTTTGAAGCAAATTCCATGCATTCTCAATCATATGCAACATAACATTATAATGAACATAATTTTAAATGCCTACGAGTACTAAATATCATATTTAAACACTTTTATTAACGCGTCGGCATCTGATACAAAGATGGGAGTGCAGCTGGGCGTAGTTTCATAACGTGGATACAATTTGATAACCAGGAGTAGTTGAATCGTCTAAACAATGTTATAATTACCGTTAAGTTATTTAAATTATACATAAATGTAAAATAGTTTTAAAATCGGGCTAAAATAGTGGTAACTATGGCAAATATCCCATTATAAGGCTATCTAGAGGGAGGCTTTAATCATTAGTGGACATTTAATAGGCTGCTGTAACTGAACAATTAATTATAACATTAAAACGCAGCAGCGTTAAACTGCTATTCCACGCTGGTATTCTGTGAGGGCGTTCTTCCCCGGTCGAGCCGACCCATTCGTGCTACAACTATACTACTAATATAGCTGCAGCATGGCTCTACCACGTATAAAGTATGTAATAATATAATTATAGCATTATATATCGCATAATTCTGCTGTGTTCAAAATAATGAGTGAAGAAAACGAAGACCCATAACAGACCAGTAATAGCCATTTTATCTTGGGGCTCGGGGGTGAGAAAGCAACTACATTTTGATTCTTAATCGAGTACAGATATGGGCGTTTATTTGCTATTATATCCGTCAGGTCAGGTAAAAAAAAAATATAAAAAATGCATGGAACGAAATATCAAAGGTCAACCAAGTCAACAACACAACTCTTTATTGTACATCCAGAAAAGATAAAAAAAAAACAAATATTGAGGGAAAAACAAAAGGCGGTATAATTGCTACGTAGCAATCTCTTCCAGACAACAAAGAAGAAGAATAAAAAATAAACAAAAATAAGTAAAATAATAATTTTTACGATCAACCAAAATTAAAAGTAAAATTCATCCATATACAAAAACAATTGATTTTTGTTTAGTTTAAATATTGTTTCGGTTTAAATTCGAACACGGTCAACGTTGTAATAAATCAAATAAACAATTGATTTTTTTACTGTTTAAAAATTCATTGTATGAAGACAACGTAACGTTAAGTACGTACGATACGGTCGTTTATTTTCGTTTCTTACGAGTAATAATAAAATTATAACGTAAGAAGATACGGCCTTTTAGAGTGCATGTTGCGATATAATACAATCATCGTTTAAAGTGGGATGTAATAAACTGAGGTCAGAGCCTCCTCGCAGTTTTAGAAATTAAAATTTGAATGCAGATAGATAAAATATCTCAGGGAAATAAAAAATAATCCGACGACGTAATTGGGTGCCATTTTAATGTTATTACGTAAACGTGAAGCCTTTCTTCGTAATCTTAGTTCATAATGATGTGTAAAAAAGTGATATTTAAAATGATAATGCAACTATTAAAATTAATTATCAAATTTCATATTTTACAGACTTTCGCATAATTGTGGAGTCAGTTGTAATTCGCTGACAATAGGTTATTATTGTCCAACGTACACAGGAAACATTATTCTTCACCATTATTATATATTATACTGTCTAATGTACAGGAAGAGTCACTCTGATATTATGTAAAAATAAAAATAAAATACCTTAAAGAATATTCCTAAGTAGTACCGCTTCTCGCCAGTCTTCAGCAATGGCATCGTCCACCGCGTGACGCCGAGTTCATCGTCATTGTTGCAACTGGAGCATTCTGAAACATTATGTAAAATTTATTGAACATTGAAACAGTGATATTATTTTCTTTTAAAAATAAAATTGCTTTTTTGCCGAGTTCACATGTAGGTTCTCAATTCGACTGTATTTTTGTATAATTATTTCTTATATACAATATTGAAAACTAAAAAAAAAACTAAAACTAATAACTTAATTATCATACAGTCCTACTCCCCGCGGTATCGTGCTGGGAGTAGGATATTTTCTTATATTGACACGAATACAAGACATTCAATCAAATAAAATTAAAGCTAAAGGTAGCTCGGGCTAACGTCACCTCAGTCCCCCCCCCCCCCCCCCCGTGAAATAATATCAGTTGAATTAAACCCGATAAAATCCGTAAATTTAGTTTTATTCACTGTTTTTGTATCCTATGTTATGCGTTATTTTCAACAATCGTCTGCCGGGTTTAATTAATATTTATTATTATTTATTTAGAAGAAAAACCCCTAGGGTTTGATTGAAACTAATCGCGTTTAATTTAAACTTTTTCTAATTCCCGTTTTATTAAAAAAAATTAAATTAAACGCAATGAAATTCGTAAAATTAAATTTATAGAGTCTGTAGTATTCGCGTAAATTGATATCATTATGAAAAAATAAGCGATGATATTTTTTTGATGTAACAACTACTTGGACGACATTCAAGTTGGTACCTTGAGCTTTTGATATTGCTTGGTCCACTCACTTAATTATTAGTTTCAGTTGTCATATTACCAGCTTCAGAAGTCATTGCTAAGACCTAGTGTATCGAAGAATAGAAGCCTCGCCTTAGAAGCTAATTATAATGTAAAAATATATTTTAATATTAAATATTTTATCTTCTTAATTTTTCGAAATTGTTAGGTATGTACCACCCTCTTAATTATTTTTAAGGCCAATGTTCAGCAGTGGCCTTGTGACGGCCTGTAATGATGATGATAATGATGATGAAATATAACATACGGAAATATATAACAAAATTGACTTGAGATATGAGGTCAAATTACGTCGCAAAAGTAGATGCCATTTATAAAGCCTTGAATTATTTATTAAACCAGCCGATGCTTACGGATTAATTACTCAGCTTGTTCAAACAAACAAAAATAAAGGTTTAAGCTTAATAGATTGTTTATTTCAATTTGTCTCGTCGTTAAATGAATAAATTATGTTACATTAAGTGGCAAATCAAATGTCCTTTATTTTGTTTCCTGAAGAAATAAACCTTCCGTACACAATGTAAGCATTAAACAGGTTTATTCAACGTTTCAAATATTTTATGATGTTTCTGTTTTGGGTTTATTGAACGCCATCACATCCAGGTCATTAGACTCAAGGTTATTTTAAGAATTCATTCTGCCTATCTCCATTAAATAAAACATGTTACTCCGACTCTTAAAGGGCAGATCTGATAGGTGATGAAGTGATTAGCTATATTGATAACTAGTAACCCGCCCCGGCTTCGTCTATATCAATTAATGTAGTGTTATTTAGATTTAAGATAAACATCAAATAATTTTATCAATTTTTCCATTAAAAAAAATATTCAAGATTTTCGAATAGAATATAGTGCAGATCATTCCTGGCTTTGCTCTCTGTCTGTTCGTGAAGTTTCATTACAATCGGTTCAGCCATTCCGAAGATTAGCCCAGACAGACAGACAGTCGGACAATTATATTAAAAAGTGTTAAAGTTACAGCCTATATACGTCCCACTGCTGGGCACAGGCCTCCTCTCATTTCTGAGAAGGTGTTGGCAAACTTCACATGTCTTTCTCTCTTACATTCAGGTTTGCTCAATAATAATAAAAATGTCATCCACATAATCCTCTCAACTTAATATTTTTATTGAGTATACTTTTATTAAGCAATTATTTCGATATTAAAGACAGACAGACACTTCAATTTTATTCATATTTATATAGATGTACTCATATCGCTTGTGTTCATTGTTTATATTTAGGTTTGAAAAATGTGGCCGAACCCAACAAAAATTGACGCCTTCAACGAATGACGCAATGCATAAAATTTGGTTTCTAATTCAAACATAATTTAGAGAAGGTGGTAACACTTATTGAAATAACTGGAACACATCGTTGCAATGTACGTTGTAATGGAGTAACAATGAAAGATATTGTCAACGTATTGGACAATTTCGGAACGTAATTTAAAATGTTTTAAACTTTAAAATGTTATCATCATCATCATTATAGTCCATGACAAGTACACTAATAAACATAGGCCTCCACCTACACCTACATCTATCGATTTCCTGCATCTCTTACTAGGTCGTCACTCCATCTAGTGGATGGCCGCCTTATACTACACTTACTGATATGAGGCTTCTATTCGAGAACCTTTCTTCCCTTTTTAGAATAGAAGAATAATTTGGTTATCGGTTCTTCAAACCATATACCTGACCAATTGCTACTTCAGTTTAATGATCCCTAGGGTTATTTCTCTACGGTTACTCTGGTTCTACTGCGGATATCCTTATAACGAAGTCTATCACGCAGAGAAACTCCGAGCGTTACTCACTCCATAGCTCGCATTTGAATCTGACGTACTCTATTTTATTTATTGTGAATGTAATAAAAACAAATAAATTATATACACCAATATGTGTTAATGACTATAGTAAAAGTAGTTGAATAAAATGTTGAAAATTTCTAACACATCGCCGACAAATGGCTTTATAATCATGGCGTTCAGTGTTACATCAACGGTTTGCGTGTCATTCTTATCCGTCATACCAATACAGGTGTACTTGTGACATAATGGTAGCTATGATATATCATTTGGGACCTTATTGTCTTACAGTAACAAAATATTACAGCAAGTGTTAATCCCCGAAACCAACGTGACCCAGAAAAACTTGTCCTAGATGTTTCTAGGCTCGTTAAATAAAAATTGCCAAAATACGTGTGTGTAAATATATACATAGGCTGCGCTAAAAGTATCGGAAATGGAATATTTCCACTGTTCCTGTCATATTAAAATCTTTTTAATTGAAAAGTCCTTGGTTTTTTAAAATTGAATACCATTAATTTATTTAAAAAAAGATTCTCGGTCTTGTCACAAGGTTTTGTCAAACTTGTTTAGTCGTTGAGAAAATGGAATTGACTCGAGAAAATTCAAGAGCGATGATTTATTATGACTTTCGAAGTGGTTTAACACAAAAACAGTGTGTTGACCGGATGATTTCTGCATTTGGTGATGAAGCCCCATCCAAAACCACAATTTATCGTTGGTTTGCTGAATTTCAACGTGGACGTGTCAAGCTCAGTGATGATCCCCGTCAAGGTCGTCCAAAAACTGCAGTCACCCAAGAAAACGTTGATGCTGTGCGTAAGCTGATTGAGGAAGATCGACATGTGACATACCGCGAAATTCAGGCAACTTTAGACATTAGCATGAGTCAAATACAAATAATCTTGCATGAACAATTAGGTGTAAAAAAGTTGTTTTCCCGATGGATACCGCATTCGCTCTGTGAAGAGTAAAAAGCGGCTCGCGTTACTTGGTGCGTCAGAACTCTCGAAGGATTCCACGCAGGATCCTCAAATGCTGTATACAACATCGTATCAGGTGACGAATCCTGGATATACGCGTACGAACCCCAAACAAAAAACCAGTCACGAGTATGGGTGTTCGAAAATGAGTTAAAGCCAACAAAAATTGTTCGTTCACGGAGTGTTGCAAAAAAAATGGTGGCCACGTTTGTCTCCAAAACCGGCCATGTTACGACTATTCCTCTTGAGGGACAAAGAACGGTTAATGCAGAATGATATGCTAGCATTTGTTTGCCACAGGTCGTTTCTGAACTCCGTAAAGAGAACTGCAACCGCCGCATCATCCTCCATCACGACAATGCGAGTTCTCTCACCGCACACAGAACAAAAGAGTTTTTAGAGCAAGAAAACATAAAATTATTAGACCATCCGCCGTACAGCCCCGACCTAAGCCCTAATGATTTCTATACTTTCCCTAAAATAAAGAATAAATTACGTGGACAGAGATTTTCATCACCTGAAGATGCTGTGGACGCCTACGAAACGGCCATTTTGAAGACCCCAACTTCCGAATGGAATGGTTGCTTCAATGATTGGTTCAATCGTATGGAAAAATGTGTCAAATTTCGCGGAGAATACTTCGAAAAGCAATAAATACATTTTTAAATAGTAATGTTGTGTCACTTCCTTGATTCCCGAAATTTTCAGTGCCCTCGTATACATATAATAAACTACCTAAGAAATTTAAATTATTAACCGAAAGATTATATAAGAAACATTTTATAATCCACGACTTTTTCTGCCACCAGGGCCGTGCCACTAGAAAATGAGGTATAATATTTGACAGATTTCAGGCGAGAGAGGTATGTCAGGATCGCGCCAAATGGAAGTCCGTAGTCTCTGCCTACCCCTCTGGGTGACAGGCGTGAGTGTTTATGTATGTATATGTATATGTATTTCAGAGCAGGGAAGTTAATTTGTTCGGAAAATGTAAAGGTTATTGTTTCTTTCTGCACTGTTAGCTATATTTTATATTAATAAGACGAAAAATAAATAAACCAAACCACAGATATTCATAAAAGTAGAAAAATTAAAAAACGTTAAAAATGTGCAAAAAATTAAAGAGCAAACCACTGACGGATTGTTTTGTGTATTAATATAATACTCTAGAAACTGATAATCTTTTATTAAAAACCAACTTCTCAATGAAATTACACTGTGTAACAAAAAACTTTACCTCAGTGTTAACTAGCGACTTCTGGTGAGCAGAAAATTATTAGCCCTCATTGGTTAAAAACTGAATGCATTTATGACTGAAAAGATTTTTAAGATAGTAGATAATTAAATATAGTCATATGAACAGGTAAAAATAATAATTTGCATGCTATATATTGTTAGCGAAACAAGATTACTCTGTATAAATTGTAACATCTTAAACCGTGATCATTGCATTTCAAATATAGATTTACGAAAGATAAAGGTTAACGC